AAGAGAAAAATCTAAAAAAATAAATAAATCTCAAAATCATAGCACTAGAACTTGCTTTATTAGGTTATCTGGCACTCTTGAGATGTGCTGGGTCAAAGTATATATCATTCTAAGTTGGAAGATTATCTGAAAATTTTGAGACGCAGTCCAAAATTTGGAGGATCTCATATGAAAAGCTGATCTCACTGTACGTTGAATGGATGAAATTGCAGCACTCAAAAAAGAGGAACTAGTAACAATATGTAGTTTGAAAAGTTACTGCTCTTTTTTCAAAGTTCAATATTCTCCCCATAGACATTACAATGGTCCCAATCGTGTTGGCTTTTTGCAAAACTTTAAAAACTTGGGTATATACCGTGTTTCCCTGAAAGTAAGACCTACCCTGAAAATAAGTCCTAGCTTGATTTTTGGGGGTGGGCCTAATATAAGCCTTACCCCAAAAATAAGTCCTAGTTTTGGGGCAAGGTGCATGCCTAAAACTCAAGCTAGGACAGGGGTGGAGCTTACCATTGCAGCTAGGCCTCCCATGGATCGACACTTGCCTCATCAGCCCACTTCTTCTGCAGCCGAAGGAGCAGCTTCATTCTGCACCTGAGAATGAGATCGGGCCTGCATTTCACCATCAGCGGCCTTTTTGAAAGGCCTGTAAAGCCAAGAACCAAGCTACGGATTCCGTAGCTTGGTTCTCAGCTGCATAGGCCTTCTGGAAAGGCCTCTGATGGTGAAATGCAAGCCGGAGCTCCATTCTCAGGTGCCGAATGAAGCTGCTCCTTCAGCCACAGAAGAGGGCCAGCTGGGTGGAGCTGTTGGTGCCGCTGCCGTAAGATAAATGGAAAAGACACCTCCTCCCCCGAAAATAAGACCTGGGCGCCTCTTTTGGAGGCAAATAATAATAATAATAATAATAATAATAATAATAATAATAATAATAATAATAATAATAAGTCTTATTTTCGGGGAAACACGGTACCCTGGCGCTTGGAATGTGTTAAGGACCCTGCAACTTGGCTTTACTATTAGTTGATTAACTGTCATGGCTGCTCTTTGTAGTTATATATTTTATGGATGTTTTTATTGTTTTAATATTTTGTAAGTTGTTTTAATTGTTTTAGAATTCTAGTACTGTAAGCTTCCCTTGGTTGAGTTGGGTGCCCATAGAAATCAAAAAAGTCAATAAACGAACAAACAAACAAACAAATATCATTTAAAAAGACACTGTGAAATAGCATCGGCATGTGTTTCTACTTCCCTAGAGCCACAAATAGCAAAGTCTATGACTGTAAGAAATCTCTTGGAATCTACTCAATAGCGCAGAACAAAAAGTGTTAAAAAAAGCCTCTGGAAAAAGTCCATGTCAAACTTACTTGAGGATAATTTGCAAGAAAAACCAAATGCACAGGTATAGTATAGGGGGTACCTTGCTCAATAGTAGTAACTGTGAGAGGGATCTCAGAGTCCTAGTGAACAATCACTTAAATATGAGCCAGCAGTGTGCTGCAGCTGACAAAAAAGCCAACACAGTGCTGGGCTGCATCAACAGAGGGATAGAATCAAGATCACGTGAAGTATTAATACCACTTTACAATGCCTTAGTAAGGTCACACTTGGAATACTGCATCCAGTTTTGGTCACCACGATGTAAAAAAGATACTGAGACTCTAGAAATAGTACAGAGAAAAGCAACAAAGACGATTAGGGGACTGGAGACTAAAACATATAAGGAAGGGTTGCTGGAATTGGGAATGTCTAATTTAACAAAGAGAACGATGAGGGGGGGGACATGATAGCAGTGTTCCAATATCTCAGGGGCTGCCACAAAGAAGAGGGAGTCAAGCTATTCTTCAAAGCACCTGAAGGCAGGACAAGAAGCAACGGATGGAAACTAATCAAGGAGAGAAGCAACCTAGAACTAAGGAGAAACTTCCTGAGAGTTAGAACAATTAATCAGTGGAACAACCTGCCTCCAGAAGTGGTAAATGCTCCAACACTGGAAGTTTTTAAGAAGAGATTGGATAGTCATTTGTCTGAAATGGTGTAGGGTTCCTGCCTGAGCAAGGGATTGGACTCGATGACCTCCAAGGTCCCTTCCAACATCATCATCATCATCATCATCATCATCATCATCATCATTATTACTCCACAATAGGGGGCTTATGACAATCTAACACATGGTCATAAGATTCATGAGTATTGGCAAGGTTTTCTGATAATATCCCTAAACCAGTGTTTCTCAACATTGGCAACTTTAAGATATGTAGACTTCAACTCCCAGAATTCCCCCGCCTGCATGCTGAAGACCATACATCTTAAAATTCCTAAGGTGAGAAACACTGCCTTGGGCTATGTTTTGTACTTTCAATGCACTAATCCCCTACAACAGAATTTACAGAAATCACAGAGGTAAAAAATAATAAAAAAAGTTGAGAAAGATATCACAAGATAAATGAAAGGAAGAACAAGAACTATTGCTGCCACTTATTTATATTGACATTAAGCTTGATGCTGTGATTAAAGCTGCTGCAAGAAAGAACACTAACCTACAGATACGATTGCTCCTGAGAGAATGACCAAGCTCTTCCATCTCTAAACAAGGGAAAAATATCATATGACTAAAAGGAATCTATGAAAATGACAAAGAATCCTCACAAAACTCATGAAGTTCAGGCCCGCCAGTGATGTCTTGCAATTGCATATTAGCTCAGTTTTCAGAATATAACAGTATTTTCCATGTAGAGATTTTAATTAGATAGGTGGACAGGCAGACAGGAATGTACAGGTAGTCCTCAACTTACAATAGCTCATTTAGTGACTGTTCAAAGTTACAATGCCACTGAAAAAAGTGACTTATGACCGTTTTTCCTACTTACAACCGTTGCAGCATTCCTGTGGTCAGGTTTGGCAACTGACTCATATTTATGACAACTGCAGTGACCCAGGTCATGCAATCCCCTTTTGTGATCTTCTGACAAGCAAAGTCAATGGGGAAACCAGATTCACTTAACAACTGTGTCACTAACAACAACTACAGCGATTCATTTAACTACTGTCGTAAGAAAGGTTGTAAAATGCGGCAAAATTCACGTAGCAAATGTTTCGCTTAGCAACAGAAATTTGGGGCTCAATTGTGTTTGTAAATTGAGGACTACCTGTACATTACTCTCAGATTTTGGGGGCTGCCTTGTAATTGCCTGAAAGTTGGATTGCTGTTTAGGAGATCTGTACTTGGAAAAGGACTCAGAGGAAAAAACAAATGGAATCACTCAGGGCCTGGAAAAAAGGACCTCTGCAAACAACATAGATTTATGAGTTAATAAAATGTTGCTAATCCTGCCAACAGGAAAGAAGAGAAGAATCTTGATATATACTTTGCATTTAAAAACTTCAGCTTTCTCCAAAAATGTACTCTAGCTTCCGGCATCTTCTAATGAACTCTAACCTCAATGGGTGGGGGTTAACTGACCACCAGCTGTTCGTCTATCACCATCTGGGATAAACCTTGCTACTCTTTTCATTCTAAGTTAGCAACAATGTGACAAGGACTTTAAAACTGTATGGGTGATTATTTCTGTATATGTATGCGCTATAAATGCACATAAATGAAAAGAGACATCAGTAGAATAAGCAATTGCAAGTGAGAATTGGGAAACAGGAAGGAACTGCAAATTCATACAGTTTTATGACCCATAAGCTCTGGACATTAGGATTCCAGCATGGATTGACCATAATAAGATAGAGGCAAGCAGAAGGATCTGCATCACCTTAGGAATTTATGTAGTTCTGGTAAGATTTCATTGGTAACTTGTCTGGATGAGCTTTGTGGAATAATACTCATTACATCCTATTCGAACCAGTGGCAAATACATTCATTGAAGCACCATTGGCTTATGATATAAGAAGGTATGAAAATAAAGATTGGTGAAGGACGTTGAATAATACTGCTGCTTTACTTTTGTGTTATTTTCTCCAGCACTAATGTGCAGTAACCTGAGTAGACAATCTCCTTAGGCAACAAGACACTAAAACATATCCATAGCAACTCTCCCTAATCTGGACACATGCCTCTGTATTCATCCATTGAGAAAACAATATGACTGACTGGATGACCTTAAGTGGTTATGTCAGAACTGAGGAATGCATTAAAGGGTCAGGTGTATTGTAACCTGGAATTACTGCCTAAATTGCTGCTGACTTTGTCCTACTGACTTCTGAGGTTGGTGTGTTTCCTGGAGATAGAGATCCATCCTAACAATGACCAAAAGGTAACCAGTTCCTTAGTGTCTTAAGCTGTCAATGATGAGATTTCACAGGAATATTGTGGCCAAAGGATTTTGATGGGTACCCTGAGAAAAAATATAGCTCCAGAGTGCTTGCCATTTTATCTAGCCCTTAAAGATTATCAGAGCTGTCTTACCAATGAGTTATAACTGTTCATTATAGATAGGCAGTGTAAAATTCCAGGAGCTTGAATCTCAGAAAGACATGCTAGATAGCAACATTTAAAGAAATATATATATGTTCATCCATGAAAAATGTCTTACAGAATGTGACTGTAGAGTAACTAGTGCTGATTTGTGTTCAATGTTCTTTATGAGTGGTTTCACAAATCCAAAATATTTTGCATTCTTTATCCCAGGCCATAATGGCTTCATTCCAAATTTCATACCAAAAGTTGCATGCAAAGCAATTCAGACTAAAACATGTTCCTATTGGATCCAGATTCCAAGAGCCAAACGATGAAATGTCAGGTAGGTCATACACTCCTATAATTCACATCCTGACTTTAAAAAAATCCCAAACATGTGGAATGAGTTACTTGAAGTAAAAAGGGAAATCTTCATTTCAGAAATAACAGACGAAACATCAGATAATAATTTGGTTTTGGCCTTGTCTTTTGCCTCTAACTTTACTAGCAGATTTGTGTATGACTTTTCAAAAAAATAAGGAAAACTTAACAGTGTTTAAAATCCGAAATGGCATTTATTTTCTTTTTCATTATTTACCTTTATCTACTTCATTTGACATGTTCCAATTTGATGTAGGCATTAAATCAGCAGTGGCTGACACATTTGTTCCTGAAAAAAAAGAGAAAAAAAGTCATTTTTTAATATATAAACATTATATAAACTAGGGAATATAGGACTCACATATTTTGACAAGAGAGTTTTACATATCGAAAATACATGCTCTAGTTGTTTAGATCTCATGAGTAAGCTGTATTGGCAGAAATGTTCAGAAGGTACAGCAAATGCAAGGAATGCTTATGGAAAAAAATCAATAATGTCTGGAGATTTCCTGATTGTTTAAAAAAACAAATCAGTAAATATCTGGAATGGCAAACCACATAATTTGGGAGAGTTCAGGTTTTTCAAATTATTTTTGTTTTTGGCAACAGAATACTACTGCGGCATTAATTAATACGGTATGTTGAAAAGATGGGAATTATAGAAAGGGAAAAAAATGAAATAAAAGAGATGAAAGAAAAAAGTTGCAATTAGTCTTTCAGTTTTAAAAATGTAATGAGAGCCATTAGAAAGGAATTCTAAGAATGGGTAGATGGGAGATGGTGGAGTGGCAAATGATCCGCCCCATCTCAGAATCTGCTCCAGTGGTGGTATTCAGCCGGTTCGCACCAGTTCGGCAGAACCGGTAGCTAATTCTTTGTTGCCCAGACCCAGAATAGACTTCCGGAAGCAGCATCCACACAGAGAACTGTATGTTTTCAAATATGTTCACATATTTGAATCTCATCACTGATCTGCTCCAATAATACTCGCCAATACAAGCAACTGGAGTAGGAAGGATGGGTGGATTTCTTTGTATTTTGTACTTCTTGGAGGAAATAAAAATAACACTGATCTATTGGACCTCGTTTTTCAACACTTGATTGCTGATTCTATGGAGAATTTGGTTCTACTCAAGTGTGAGTGTCCATGTTTTGCTTTTAAAAAATGTACATCGAGATTGTGGTAAAAGGAGATCACTTCAATACACAATTGTACTGTTTTGAGCAGTAGCGTAATTTGAATAATAATAATTGAAGCATTAAAATTTTGGGCAAGTATATTCACAGAAGAAGGATTAAAATATTATAAGCACGGGCCAATTCTATACATTTATCTATGCAATTTTTTTTAAACACTTGAATTTGACAATTTATTTTAACAGAAGATACTACCAGCAATTCTTTTGATTTCAAAATGCCGCACAAATGAATTAGGTAGAAGAAATATTTATTTTAGCTACTGGCAGTGAGTATAAAAATACATTTAATTTGTATAGATTTCATGGTGTTTAAGTAACTCTTGTTTCTACTATATTTTATAGAACAAGAGAGGAAGGAAAGAGCAGTAAATCACAAAACATACCTCTGACATATATATATTAAATAAACTAGTTTTTCATATATATTTATTTGACATTATAGTTTAATCAGGAATAAGAAAAAAATGGGTACTTAAATATATATATTAGTATAAGCAGTATACATTCCTAAAAGACAAATATTTTTAACTCAATACAGTGGGTTAAAATGCTGTACAAATACAGAAAGAAAGATAACTTCTTCAAACCATTACAAAGTAATGTGTCCAGTCTAATAATTTTTGCAACTATAAAAACATCCAAAGTGTACATTCTTTGTTTTCCTTTTAGTTTCCACAACATATTTGATTCAAAAGAATGCAACCATCTATGAAAATCAATAAGATTTTCTGAACAATGTATGTGGAATAATTTAAATCCAAAAAGTAACTATAGCTCACAGTCAGATCATATGAACCAATATTGTATTCTGAACACATTTCAGCCAACTGAGCCAATTAGCTGAATCTCTCATTTTCTCTATAATATGATAAATAGGTGTCAGGTTTATACGAAATCATAATTTCAGGGGAATTATTTCTAATTTTAAATCTATAGAAATGTGATCTAAAAGTCAAATTCATTTTCCATTGATATTCATAAACTGGGCATCACAATTTCTCATTCCTGTAACAATTTGCTATTATTTTGTGGTTTTTACTCTCAGTTACCTGTTCATTTTATTTTTATGTTATATATTTTAACAATTACTTACATCGGTGTTTTTTTTAAAAAAATAATTGTAAACTTTGTTGCCCAGAGTTGTTGTGATGAGAGGAGTGACCACATAAATAGATAGATCCCAGGCCAAAAATGGCTGTTACATGAATATACAATCTGATTAGTTACAAGGCCACTACCATAAACACCATGGTGAGTATCTATTAGAATTGAAAGAAGAAGTTATGAAATGAAACCCCCAGTGTAGAGTATTTTGCCATTAGATAATCAACTATTTGATAAGGCGTCTCTTTTTCCCTCTGTCACCCATGCTCTAGAATTAGATAAATATCAGAAGAAAAAAAAAATGTGACTGACTGGATGACTACTTGCTCTTTCTAGGTTATTTCTTGAAGAGCTTATCTATGTCAATTTGACCTTCTTTTGGCCTTTCCCCCTTATTAACTACAATAATAATTACAATAATTTTAATTGTCTTAATAATTTAAGACTTTTTAATGAGAAGCAATATACAAATCCCATATACAATTGAACAAATAATATGTCATGAACAGTATATACAACCTGCTAGTTCCACAGGAATTGTCTTCGATATTACTAATATATCGAGGAACCAAGTTAATTGAAAGCAGATCATATTTGCTTTTGCTTCTGACTTTTTTTTACACTTTGCATGATGATGTTAACACCAAAAGGAAATTGTGTGATTGATAGTATATGTCACAAGACATCTTGTGGCTAAGGTGCTACAAGAGTCTTTGCGGAGTTTTCTGCAAAAAGGAAGGAATAAGATAGCTGGAAACTGTAATTTATACAATTCATAAGATCCTGTGAGGTTTTGTTTAAATGGGCACAACTGTCTGCTACTAATGTCTTGGACATTAAACAGGAAATAGGTCTGATCCATGCTTATATAAATGCTTATATACAAATGCTCAAAGCTTGGGGAACAAACAGGGCAAACTAGAAGCAATAGTACAAGAGGGAGGGTATGACATAGTTGGCTTTACAGAACCTGGTGGCACTAAACTCATGAATGGAATGGACTGATGGATGGATACAAATTGTTCAAAAGAAACAGGTCTACAAAAAGAGGAGGGGGAGTTGCACTATATGTAAGAGAACACTACATATCTACAGAAATGCACATGATCAAACATAAAATCTCTCCAGAATGTATATGGGTCAATATAAAATAGAAAAAAAGTGACGTTGCCATAGGTGTATATTACAGGCCACCCAACCAATTAGAAGAAATAGATGAACTCTTTGCCAACCAGTTAACAAATGTAGGTAGGAAGCATACCACGGTAGCAATGGGAGATTTCAACTATCCTGATATCAATTGGGAGACAAATTCTGCAGCGAGCGGAAGATCAAACAGATTCCTAACCAACCTAGTCGACAACTTTGTCACCCAAAAAGTGGAGGAGGGAACTAGACATAAAGCTATACTGGACTTAATTCTTACTAATAGAGAAGAAGTGATAGAGGGAGTTGAAGTTGCCAGAACCTTGAGCGAAAGTGACCACATCATACTGGAATTTAATATAATGCAAACATTAGCAATAGAAAACAATCCAACCAGTGTCTTAAATTTCAAAAGAGCTGACTCTAACAAACTCAGAGAGAACCTAGGAAAAATCCCATGGATGAAAATCCTAAAGGGGAAAACAACCCAAGAAGCATGGGAAACTCTGAAAAATTCAATCATAAAAGCCCAGACCAGCATAATACTACTGACAAAGAAAAACAGGAAATTCAAGAAGAAACCAACATGGCTGCACAAAGATCTCTCTGACAAACTGAAAGACAAAAAGGACAAATACAAAAAATGGAAAGAGGGGCACATAACTAAGGCCGATTATCAGCAGACAGCCAAAATATGCAAACATGAAGTCAGGAAAGCAAAGGCTCAGTGCGAACAAAGACTTGCAACAGAAATCAAGGATAATAAAAAAAGCTTCTTCCAACTTATTAACAACAAGAAAAAAGTCAAGGAAGGTCCACTAAAGAGAGAAGATGGCAAGAAAATAACAGGCAACAAGGAGAAAGCAGAGCTGCTTAACTCATACTTTGCATCAGTCTTCACACAAAAAGAAACTATACCCCAACATACCAAAAAAACCACTGCAAAAGACAAACTAGAAACAAAAATTAAAATAAGCAAGAAAATGGTAAAAGAACATTTATCCAACCTTGATGAATATAAATCGACGGGACCATACAGATTACATCCCAGAGTTCTGAAGGAGCTGGCAGATGTTATCTCAGAACCATTGTACCATATCTTTCATAAATCCTGGAGCACCGGGGAAGTACCTGAGGATTGGTAAAGGGCTGATGTGGTTCCCATCATCAAGAAAGGGGAAAAATGGACCCAGGAAACTACAGACCAATCAGTTTAACTTCAATGTCTAGGAAGATCATAGAAAAGATAATCAAAAAACAGATCTGCAAACAACTAGAAGCAAACAAAATTATAACTAGTAGCCAGCGCGGGTTTGTTGAAAACAGATCATGCCAAACCAATCTTATTTCATTCTTTGACAAAGTGACAAAACTAGTAGACCAGCGAAATGCTGTGGATGTAGTACACTTAGATTTCAGTAAGGCATCTGATAAAGTACACCACAACCTACTCCTTGGTAAGTTAGAAAAAGGTGGAATAGACAGCATCACCACCAGATGAATCTATAGCTGGCTGGAAAACTGTACTCAATGAATAATCCTCAATAATACTACATCTACATTGAGAGAAGTAAGCAGTGGTGTGCCACAAGGCTCTGTCTTAGGCCCAGTACTCTTCATCAATAACTTAGATGAGGGAATTGAAGGAGAACTCATCAAATCTGCAGATGACACTAAACTGGCAGGAGTAGCCAGAAGACAAAACTCAAGATCCAAAAAGATCTTGACAAACTTGAACAATGGGCCCTATCCAACAAAATGAGTTTCAATGTGGAGAAATGCAAAGTTTTATATTTAGGCAAGAAAAATCAAAGATACAAGTACAGATTGGGCGAGACCT